CCAGCCAAGTGCTGTCTGTAACTCATCGGGATGATGGAGATGGCCTTATTTAGTGGGGGGCTAGATTCGCACACGTTACAATGCAATCTGAAGAAATGCATGGTTTGTCCTCAGAGAGATCGCTCATCAGGTAAAAAACCACTGCGGTCTCAGGCATCGTCGCTACTATTCCGCGACTGCTTATTTATTGAAGTAATGCCCATGGCTAACGAATCAGGTGATACTACTCGCATTCACGATTGGGATCGTGATTTTCTGCTCTTAGGTTCTCACCTATCGATTCTGCAAAAAAGTTTTCAAGGACATGTTTTTTTCCAGTTAAGTGAAACGATTGGTTCAAGCGCTTTAGGAGTTCAGAATTCACCGCCTACAAACATACGTCAACACCAAGCAGTGAGTGACCATGATAACTAAAGTAAGAGGTAACAATAATGATCATGCAATATTAAGGTGCGAAAAGTCTTGAAAGCATTGTGGAACCCTCCCGTCCCTGTTGAGAATCGTTAGCAAAGTATATCCATCAACTTGCGACGACTCCAATATTAAGGGACTAGGTTATGAGTGTTTCACGTAACCATTAGTGACCACGGACGTGGGTTTAGCTCTATTTCACTTCACCCTCTGGATTAGGCGGATCACCAATAACTGTCGGGTGTGACCATTGATGCCTGAATTGCAATTTTGTCTTTCAGTATTCCATTTGCCGCGACACAAGCTACTATCCATAGTTGATAGGTTGCAATGTCACCAACATCATCACTAACAAGTTCAAATGCTTTTTGCTTGGGTTCATCCTCCAGGCGTTTACCTATGATCTACATATTAGTCAAACTGTCTCTGTTCACGTTCTTTTGACCATTGTAGGTTCACATTTGTGGACGCATTATCCAACTATTCGACGTCTCATGGAAATGGTGATGACAGAGTACGTTTTACAGTTGTGATTTACCGTTTTTTTACCCGAGTTCCAACACCATTTCCCTACTTCGGAAATCTGTCACGGTTTATTTCTTTCCTCGGATGAATTGTATTCTGCTTGAGCTTGTTGTTTGTTCGTTCATTTCACCGAGAATTTCTTCATGTTCACATAGGAGGCTATCCATTTTTTCACAAGCCCTCAGCTTCAATCCAAAAACATTTGGGTAAAGGTAGAAGATTGACTTACAGATGGTTGTACTATGTTTAGGGTGGTCTACCACAGCTTCTACTGTATTCGCGGTTGTGATCACGAGAACAAGTTCTCTAAGCACCGGTTTCATCATCCAGATAGTCGTTTATTACGGGGCTAACACAAGTTGACCACGTACTGCCACATACACGGGAGGTGTTTGATGTTATTTTCACCTTTTTGAACAACTCACACGGGATGTAACAAGATAACACCTCTTTTCATTTCGTGGAATCAAGCTAACAATAGATTTTCTACCACCCTTCCTGATTCACAGTCCCATTAGGCGTGTGCCACTAATAGAAATAATAATTTTACGCTTTTTATTGATGATATAATGGTACAGTCCATCTACAAAATGGAAACTGCTGCTAACTAGAGGTTGTTTGATGAAATGGTCGCATAGGGAAGACAGGTGACAATTTCGGGAATCGAACTCCCAACCTCGGTCTCTGTAATGGTTACATTAATCGCTTGACCTCGTTCAATACCCACATTACTCTCGATGAGCACTGTATCATGTGAGTTAATACTCTCTTTTCCCGAATTCCCCTTAAGGACTGCCAATCCTCTCTAAATTATGTTTTTCATTGGAACTGACTATCCTTCGGATTTCACCTTCACGCACAATCCCCAATTCATCCAGTCAACCATACACTCGCAGCACTGGACTAGAGTTTCACTCCTATTAGAGTTAATTGATAGTGCATATCCACCATCCCGTCCAGGCTTTGTCATCCGGACCCATCGCATGAAAGGTGTGTGTGTTACTGGATAGACTGAGGATTGTGCGTTATGGTAAAGTCCGAAGGATAATCAGTGCAAGTCGATATCAGTTATCCCGCGCCACTACTCACAAGTAACTGAAAGATAAAAGCAAATTATAATTTCCTTCTGGTGTTTGTATCATCCCTTATCTGAGTGGTTTAACCATCACTTGAAATCAACTCTTATCCCATGCTGTTTTCAACTCTCCTTCAGCGATTTTACTGTTTCAAAAGATTCCGCTTCTACTGTGGAAACCGATATGGAAGAGGCTGAGCGGCTGGTACGTTCCTTTGTTGTCGTCTGATTTATTGTGATTTCAAATTGGGTGAATCTTTTTTTCAAGGGTGACCTAGGATG